CAAATTAAACTTACTGCAGTTGTCCCATCTCCCCTTATACACAGGATCCAAGGAGCACCAGGGTCTGTGATAATCAGCAGAAGTGCAAGAATTGAACGTCACTCCCCTGTATTTGAATGGAATACTGCAACATTTGCCTGATGCTGTCTTCTGAGGGCAAACAGTTGGTGACGTTCTGGTGACTGGCAACGCTATGAAACAAAACACAGAATGCTTTGATATAATGATAATGTAACTTTGAAATACACACTAACGTCATGCTTTAGCGGGGTCAAATTAAACTTACTGCAGTTGTCCCATCTCCCCTTATACACAGGATCCAAGGAGCACCAGGGTCTGTGATAATCAGCAGAAGTGCAAGAATTGAATGTTACTCCCCTGTATTTGAATGGAATACTGCAACATTTGCCTGATGTTGTCTGTTGAGGGCAAACAGTTGGTGACGTTCTGGTGACCGGTAACGCTATGAAACAAAACACAGAATGCTTTTGATATAATGATAATGTAACTTTGCAATACAGACTAAAGTCATGCCTTAGCTCAGTCAAATTAAACTTACTGCAGTTGCCCCATCTCCCTTTATACACAGGATCCAAGGAGCACCAGAGTATGTGATAATCAGCAGAAGTGCAAGAATTGAACGTCACTCCCCTGTATTTGAATGGAATACTGCAACATTTGCCTGATGTTGTCTGTTGAGGGCAAACAGTTGGTGACGTTCTGGTGACTGGCAACGCTATGAACCAAAACACAGAATGCTTTTGATATAATGATAATGTAACTTTGAAATACACACTAAAGTCATGCTTCAGCGGAGTCAAATTAAACTTACTGCAGTTGTCCCATCTCCCCTTATACACAGGATCCAAGGAGCACCAGGGTCTGTGATAATCAGCAGAAGTGCAAGAATTGAACGTCACTCCCCTGTATTTGAATGGAATACGGCAACATTTGCCTGATGTTGTCTTCTGAGTGCAAACAGTTGGTGACGTTCTGGTGACTGGCAACGCTATGAAACAAAACACAGAATGCTTTTGATAATATATAGATTTAGCCAGGGCTAAAAGCGAAGCTCTGGTTAATGATACGTGTAAACAAAAAAAATTAAATCGTGTAATGCTAAACGCGGACGACAATGAATATGGCTTCAAGACTAATAGATGTAATTAGCAAAAAAAAAAAAAAACAAATTGCACGTGCAGCACACTTTTTCTTCTAATTAGCAAAAAAAAAAATTTGCACGTAGCACGCTTTTTTGTCTTTCCCTTGTTGTTGTTTTGCACGACTACAACGCTGTTTTGTACGGCTAAAACGTCAAACTTCCTAGTTACACATTTTTTTCATGGAAGAATTGTCGTATGTGCTTACCCAATATTTTGTCTCCTGTGTTCATGTTCGCTTTTATTTTTCATTGCCGCTCATTTTCACCTTGCTGGTCGCTAGCATTTCTCATTTTCTCACCGCCGCTTTGAATTTCCATGTTTTATTCCTAAGAAATTCGTCTTCTTTGTTTTCAATAACTCGCTCTAGCTCTTTCACTGTTGTCCACGTTAATGTAAACATAAAAAATAACGCCGGGAAAGACATGACTATGTTGTTGTTTTTTGTTCTAAATAAAACCTTGAGTCGCATTTGGGTTGCCATACCTGTTGATTGAGTTATTTTACATTGGTATGCCTGTGGTG